CTTAGCCACTATGCTACCAGAGCTCCCTATAAATTACTTCGCTCTGAAAAATTTTTTGAGTGTCCTGACTTAGATTTTTGCTAAGCTGAGTGTATGACTTCAAGCTATGTCTTTTTTTCTGTTTCTTTTTAAAAAATATATGATAGCCTTATAACGAACTGCAAAATCATTTTGGGTTGGTGATATGTAGACCTGAAAATTTGGGATAAAATTCGCCTTATGCAGAATTGAGGACCTTCTTTGTTTTGTTCCCTTGTTGATTTTTGACTTAGTAGGAGATAGTTCTGTATTCCGTCCTTTTGTGTCAGTCTCAGAGCCTACCATAGAATATACATACACTCACTCCTCACTTGTCGACCTGGTTAAGTTCCAAAGACAGACTTGTTACATAAAAATGGAGAATGACTACATCATTACATAACTACCAAACCACTGAGAATTGTGGCCTAGCCAATTTGACACATAACCTTAGCCATCACAATCAGTGTTATCTTCACCTCATTACTGTAAGATGTATGTCATTAATGCACAAAATTGTCAGAAATGCAAAATATTGGACAGCAAGAACATCAATAAGTAAGAGTAGGTATACTACTACAGTGTCGCCCATTTATTTATTAGAAATTAGGAAGAGGTAACTGACTACCTTTGTGTGAAAAGATTAGAATAAAATGGAAATACAGCAATTAAAAAACTTTGAGAACTGGAACCTGTTTAAAATATATTAGGGTTGAGATTTCATATCCATTTGAGGGCAAGAGGGTAGCCGCTGACACTTTGCTCTTTATTTACCTTGCCAGTTCCAAACTGGGGGCACTCTGCTGTTTACTTGTAGCGGTGCAAGACTGATAGTGGAAAGCTCAAAACTGTCAATAAAATCCCACCCCAGATGAAGACATCTGAGGTCTTAAATGTAGCTCAGCAATTTCTGAGAAGTCAGAGTTAATCCATCAGTAATTTCCTCAGCTTTCTTTCTCTTTAAATTATGTTTCTATTTTTCTCATTTTCCATATCCCATAGTTTTTTGTTTCTATACATTTCCTTTGGGGTATGTTCTTCTCTCTTGTACCATTCTTCCTCTTCTAATTTTGTTATTGAAATTCTAGCCATGATCCTTCTGTGACCAACTCCACCTTTCCTGTCTTCCCAAGTAGACTTGATCTCCCTCATGTTACTTCATCTATATTTCTCTTAGGAGCTCTGGTAGCATAGTGTTTAAAGCATTGGGCTGCTAACCAGAAGGTCGGTGATTAGAACCCACCAGCCACTCCGAGGAAGGAAGATGAGGCAGTCTGTTTCTATAAAGATTTACAGCCTTGCAAACCGTTTGGAGCAGTTTCTGTCGTAAAAGGTCTCTATGAGTTGGAACCAATTCAGTGGCAATGGGTTTTGTTTGTTTGTTTTGGTGTTTCTCTTATGGCATTTTTCATAGGTTTTCCTGTCTTACAATTTTTGTGTATTTGACATGCCCCCCACTCAATGGTAGTGACCATGTCTTCCCTTCCTCATATAGTATTTTGAACAAAACAACATTTACTAAGTGTGTATCAGGCACTGGACTGGGAAATGAGATAAATAGTTTAAAGAGCTTTTCCAGTGTAGGAGATGGCATATATTAAATAAGTATTTTTGCAATTTAATTTTATAAACCTAGCTAATAGTACATAATGTATTTTTTAATGTTCCTAAATGAGTCAAGTTGCTTTTTAAGTATAAAGGCACTTTTTAAAAATATATATTAGAATAATTTCACCCCTTCTTCCCCTTTTTAAGGCATAATATATATGTAGAAATAAAAGAAGTAAATACACAAGGATTTTTGTACTGGTTACCTTTGGGTAATGGGATTATCATTACAATAATATTTTTGTATATTTCCGGTTGTTAGTAAATATATAGAATGTTTATAGTCAGGAAAAAGATTGTTTTTCTGCAAAGCAACTATGTATTTAAATATTTCCAAATTTTTTACTTAAGAAACTTTTTTCTCTTTATGTTTCCTGTTTGTATATTTAACACAGACACACAAATATTCTTTACTGAAACTTAAAAAAAGCAGGAGTCTGATATGGCAGTAAAACAAATGTATCGCTTCTGCTTTCTGTGAACTCATTTAACTTAAAAGTCTTCAGCAAAGGGTTTTAACCATTGTACCAGGGGATATAAGGATAGATGATGCATTTTTGGTTGGTAGGTCCCTGCTCTTTGTAAGTAATGCCTGTGTGACACCCGCAAGTGATATGAATCATTTCAGATGTCAGTGGTAATGGCAGTGCCTCTTACGGATATATTAATGTTAGTTAGGAAGTGAGTTCTTCTCACATTGCTGTCATACTTTAGTTTTCCACCTACTAGAGAAATGAGAACAAGACAGCATTATTTAAAATATTGCTAAATGAACATTGTGTTTCTTTATGATTGATTCTTGTATTTCCTTTTACAACAGAAGATTAATGTTGCTGTTTGTTGTTCTTGGAAGTGATTATTGGTTGAGTTTTTAAAAACATCAATATACTCTCCCGTAAGCATATTTTTGTTTTCCTTCAGAACTTGAATTTTAAACTTTTTGTTTTATGAAAATGACTTCGAGTTTCATTTCTTAAAAGGGAATAAAATATATAAGTTTATGTAATAAATGTACCACTGTTGTTTGGACAAGTGCTTATATAGTTTATTGGATGATCTCCTTTTGAATTAGCTTTTCAGGAAAAAAGACCTCAGTAGCAGTAGGACAGCCTAGTGGAAATTATATACCTGCTTTTAATTGCTTTATTAAACAAAGGATATTCATTTGTTAAGCTTTACTAATAAGCAAATGTGGCAACTGACAAACTCCTAGCATAAAGAAAATCATAATATATTTCAAATAGTAACGAAGTCCTCTTCTCTTCTTTCAGAATCACAGTTTAAACTCATTTTTTTTGTTTATAGAGTCCCTGGGTGGTGCAAGCAGTTAATATGCTTGGCTGCTAACTAAAAGGGTAGACATTCAAGTCCACCCAGAGGTACCTTGGAAGAAAGGCCTGGCACTCTACTTCTGAAAAATCAGCCATTGAAAACCCTATGGAGACCACAACGACAGGAAAAAAAAAAAAAAAAAAAAGAGTACTTGCTGAGGTTACTTATGTATAACCAAAAACCTCATGTGATTTGGTTTCTTGGTTTGGAGTTTTAGGGTCTTGGTTTCTGAGGACATCCTAGTTAATGGGACTAATAGCATGTTTAGTGTGTTCTCTACATCCTAGTTCGTTGTATAGAGCCTGTGGTCTTAAAATTTTAAAAATGGCCATCCAAGGCACAGCAGATGTTCTCATTTGCCTGGAACAAAAAAGAAGGGAGAGTGAGGAATAGAAGGAGGAAATGGAATGAGTGGATTTGCATGAACAGCTGCCTTCTTTGCTGTGAGACCAAAAGAACTGGATGGTTCCTGGCTACCATTACTGAACTTTGATCAAAGATTTTATAGAAGAATTCTGACTAAAAGGAAGAAAATGAGGAACAGAATTCCAATTTTCATGTACTTCTGATTTTCTGGAGCCATGGAGGCTAGATGAATGCCTGAAACTATTGCCTTGAGATAATCTTTAAACCTTAAACCAGAAAATGCCCTTGAAGTCTTCTTAAAATTAAACAGTAGTTTAGCTTAACTAGTAAAAAAAAAAAAAGTCTGCCTTGAACATTATGCTCTTTCAAGATCTATCCATATGGGATCAAATTGACAACAGGAACTCGAAAGATTATATAAGAAACTTAAGAGACAGTGAGTTTATATTAATGGGGGAGGAACAACTCAGAAAAGGAGGGTAAGAATGGTTGCAGCTCAAAAACTATAATCTATGTCACTGAGTTGTACATGTAGAAACTGTTAGATGGGTGTATGTTTTGCTGTGTATAGTCTCAGCAACGATGACAAAATAAGTAAAACTTAGGAAAAAAAGCCCTATGAAGCACGCTTGTGCTCTGATACACATAGTGTTGCCATGAGTCAGAATCACCGCAATAACAACTGGTTTTATTTGTTTACATTGAATAAGAAGAGAATCAAAATAATATAGTGTATTTTTATTGCTATTACCATCTTTTGAAAGATGGAAAAGTTGAAGATCAAGGAGGTTAAATGATGGCTCCAACGTGTACAGCTAATTTTATTTTTCTATTAGTTAAATTTAATTATACTGTTCATTGTTGAAAACTAGATTGAGAAAGCCTGTAAAATTATATGTAAAATAAAAATATAGAGAAATAAGATTGTCTAGAAAATAAAAGTAGAGTAGCATGATGAAGCCTGGGGAAAAGTTAGTATACAAATAAAAGCATAATTTATAATCTTACACTGTTCTAAAGTTGGATTGTAAATTTGTCTCTAGCATCCTAGCAGCCAAAGCAAAAAGGGAAATCTGATTAGTTTCAAAATTCAATCTATATATTCATATGATACATAAATTACATACTGTGTGTATGAGTGTATACTTATATAGTTATAGGGTGTGTGTGTGTGTGTATGTTTAGTCTTATGTGTATATTTACATATGCGTGTACAGTTACATATGAGTACCAGCTGCTCAGGAAATTCATGTTTTTCTTGGCTCAGCGCTCTGAGAGAAATTTAACTGTTCAGTGATATAGGTGACTTAACATAGGTCTTTTGACTCCTATTATATGTTTCCTCCTACAACCTTGTTTACCTTGGCCCTATCTGCTTTAAATATACTTTTTTTTTTCTGTTGGAATGATAAATTTTTCAGGTTAGAAGATAGCCATAACTGCTCTTTCTGTTTTTCTTTGTTAGGAATTCTTGTTAAATCATGGGCACAAATCTTTGCCACCTCTAAAGCCCAAAAATTACTATTCCGGATCATAGATTGTTTGCTGCTCCCACATACAGTGTTACAGCAAGAAAAGGAGCTGCCTGCAGCTATGTTGACAGCGATTCAGAAGAGTCTTCCTTTGTATCTCCAGGTATAGTAAATGTGTCTGCTTAAAAATAAATATTTTTTTTGAAATTTTGCCTTAAAACATCGTTGACTAAAGGAGATTTAAAAGCTGCTTGTAATTTCAAATGGTACATCCGCTGAACAATCTTTGAATTCTTTTGTGTTTGCCTCTGAAAACAAAGATGAAAAAGGCAAAGTCTCTGCCCTGAAGGAGCCTATGGTCTAAAGGAAGCCGACTAACACAGACACTTAGGGTAGTGTGCTGTTTTTCTTAAGAGGCCTCGGCTATCTATTAACTAGACTGGGAATGAGGAGATAGATGTGAGAGAGAAGACCTGTAGAAGATATTAGGTGTAAAAGCGAAGTGGGTAGGAGTTGGAGGGAAGTTCCTGTCTGAGGGAACAGTATATGCAAAGGTGTGAGCATTAAGAAAATATGACACATTGGAGAAAAGCAAATCATTCTGGTGTAGGTGGAGGTGGGTATTCATTTGGGAGGAGCAACACAGTGGAGGGCTTTATATGCCTTACAGGTGAGTTTGGACTCATTCTTTTGCTTGGAGACTGTAGGTAAATTTTGCGTGAAAAATGATTGATTGAGCTTGTTTTACATTCAATGTAATGTGTACATTTAGTTTCACTCCCCATTTACCATGTCCAACCCTAACCAAGTCTCCTCCCCTCCCTATGCTGTAACCCTCCCCCTATGCCCCTCATATTTATGTACTCCTGTTTGTCCTATATTTACTCAATTTGAATGTTGGTGCTCTGGTGTCCTGTGGTCTATTGTTCTAAGGGATGTATTACCATAGAGTATGTGGGTGCATCTTCTTGGGTTGAGTGGTTTGCATGTACGTCTTGTTAACTATTGGGCGAGAGCCAGTCCCTGGGAGTGCATTTTATTCCAGGTGCAGAATGTATTCCAGGGCCATAGTATTAGGGGTCTCACCAGATTTCATCTGACCAGTAATTCTGGTCATTACTGAGTTTTTGGAATTTTTTCCACATTTTCTCTCCCACTCTATCCAGGATCTCCAGATTTGATTCTTTCCTGAGTGGTTGGCATTGGTAGCCAGGCACCATCTAGTTCTTCAGGTCTCAAGGGCCATCGTGTCCTATGGCTAATTGCTTCTAAATGCCCTTTATCTGTGACCACCATGATAACATTAGGAAATGGGAGGACACTGAATTGTGCACATAAGAGATAGACAGCAGATGCTAATACCAACCAATGTGTCCACAATACTGCATTGCCATTAACACCAAACACCAGGCTACAGATAAACATATAAACACCTAAGATGATCAGACGGGGGTCAGTAAACAGAAGTATACTCTAGACCAAGGATAGATTCAGCTGAGGCTAATCTTTCACAGATACAAGTGATACAAAATACCCACAGTCCTTACAGAAACAATAGAAGACAGACATAGAGTAATCCCTCACAGACAACCAGACACTATGGGAGACAGATCCAATAAATCTACCGTCTCAGGACCATAGTCCTGGGGGACACCAGACTCAATTGACACAACAAAATACATAAAAGCCTTGCTCCACATCCTACATTGGTGAGTAGCGACTGGGGTCTTAAAAACCTTCAAGCCGCCATCTAAGATGCAGCTAATAATGGTCTCCTAGTGTTAGAAGCGAAGAACGTAAAAAAAAAAAAAAAAAGAGCATTTGGAAGCAATCACATATTCATTTTAGAAAGATGATTCTGGTGGCACCATCTAAGATAGTTCGTGTGGAAGTTAGATTGGGTACTTGTAGGGCAGTGAGTAAGTCATTGCAGTAACCATTATCTGAAGGTTTTGAACTAAGAGCAGAATTCAGGCCATTCAGGAGTGCTCATCAAAAAGACTTGCTGAGTGAGTTTTTTGGAGGAACAGATGGGTATGAAATACTTCCTAGATTTCAGAATAGCTGACCTGTAGATAGAATTCCTGGTAGTTAAGCACTCTGCAGCTAACTGAAAGTTTGTGGTTCAAACCCATCAGCTGCTCCCTGGCAAAAAGATGTGCCAGTTGGCTTCCTTAAAGACTACAGCTTTGGAATCCCTATGAGCCAGTTCTACTCTGTTCTGCAGGGTTGCTGTGAGTTGGAGTTGACTCCACAGCAATGATTTTGTTTTATTTCACTTGAGATAGTAGTGCTGCTAACTGAAATGGAGAATTTTAGAGATGCAGGGAGGATGAAAGTAAGAATTGATTTTTGAACAGCTTTAGTTTGAGGTGGTATGAAATACCTAGGTAACTACGTCTAGTAGGCATTTAGAAAGAATGTTCTTGATTATTCATTAGTGTGTGATACTGAAGATAAGTAGTTTTTAAGTTGGGCTTTAGCAAGGGAAGTTGAGGAGGAAGGGAAGAATGGATTTTGATTAGGTAATAAGCAGTCTCTTTCACAAATGGATTTTTTTTTAGCAGAATTTGAAGATTTTTGAGAAATTTTAAGTATACATTTTAATTTTGCATCCATAACATACTTTAAAACAAACTTTATTTTGTCTACTTGTGAAAGATAAAGATGGTGGCAGCCCCAGCACAGCCTAGCCTGCTAATCTTACAGAAGGGGGGAAGGATGGAGGGAGTTGTGGGCAACAGGAAAGTCTAGAGTGTTTGCTCCCTGTGGCCCTCTTAAAGCCATACAACCCATTTAGTAAGAATTCTTAGACTTCGAAAGTGGTAAATTTTAAAAATGTGATGAATGACCTTATTAGCACAATTGATTTGGAGCTGTATCTTTAATTTTTTCAAGATGCCCAAGTCTCTTCAGAATTTTCGAACAATATCCATTGATTACTTTATCTTTCTTGATTTAATGTGCTATTCTTTAAACAACAGTGTTCAAAATAAGAAGGAGATAGGGAGACAGGAGTCCATTGTTTATTTTATTATTTTATTTTTTCCAGATTTTTGCTACTTTCAATTGCCAGTGTTTTGATAGCTCTATGGTATTTTTTCACTACAAATAAACTTTAAAAATTTCTTGTTGGGTAAATAATTTAAATGCATTGATTAACAGGTATTTCTAATTATTTCTCTGGTATTATAATTATATTTAGGAAAATGGAATATTTAGTAATATTGAAAGGAAAACATTTCTATTTTTCAGGGTATTGATTTAATTGTTTAAGTATTAAATGCTATAATCCATATGAAAATACTTCCTTAACTGTATATAAATGGGAGGAATTAAATCTTTAGTTATATAAAAAGACACTATGACCTCTGTGTGACCTTGATGAAGCTTCCATACCCTAAGGGAGCTCTGGTGGCGTAGTGCGTAAAGCATTTTGACTGCTAACCAGAAGGCTGGTGATTCAAACCCACTAGCCACTCTCCGGAAGGAAGGTTGGGCAATCTACTTCCATAGTGATACCACCTCAGAAACTCAAGGAGGGAACACTATGAGTTGGATCCAACTCCACAGGAATGGTTGCGCTTGCGTTGGTTCCATACCCTAAAGATACTGCTTGGTTAGATATGCAGCATATTTTTTACCTAAGCTCAGCACTCCCTAAGGTTCGTATAAGCATTATCTATTGTTGATGTGAGGTGTCCTTGTTGACTGTGATAATTTTTAATTTCTTATATGAATATGAATGTTGGGGACTATGTTGGTAAGTTCCTAAATATTGTTTATTGTTTAAAACTTTGCTTCTTATTTTTTTCTTTCTCTACTGTAGGGCATGTGTATCGTATGTTGCCAGTCTCAAAATTCAAATACCTACTTGAATCAATTGCTTGGAAATGTTATTGAGCAGTATATTGGGCGGTTTCTTCCAGCTTCACCGCATGGTTTAGGTGTTGAACAACATCCTGTTTTATTGGGGTTGAAAAAGTCAGCCACTATTCCACCAATGTCGTCTCTAAAGAAATGCATTGTGCAAGTCATAAGGTACATCTACATATTAAAAATAGGTGGGATGTCCAGTTTATTAATCTTTGTTAAAAAGTAACAGAGCAACATTTCAAGAATATTGACAACATTTACAATACTAGTAGTGTTAGAAACATTTTTTTTTCCTGCTAAAACATTATCTAAGAACTGAGTAAAATGACATCTGCTCATGACAGCCTGAGGTGTTTTTTAGATTGCTTCTGTTTCCTTTTCTTAGATATTGTTTTTATTATGTATGTCCTGAAGACATACAGTAATTATATTTTATAAAATAAATATACAAATAGATACAAAAATGAACACTAAAAAAGAAAAGCAGTATGAACTCCTATTTTGTTCATCTAATCTTTGTCTTAATAGCTCAGTTTTCCAATTAGGCAAATGAATGAATATAACTTCTTAGGTTTTCTACTAAACTCCATACCCTTTTAACTACAACTTTAGAAGGTTCAGTAATAGACATTATCTTTTCTTTGTCCTCATGTAGTATTTAGCTTCATATAACATTACTTTCTAATTTGTGATATTCTAATCTAGGATTGGTTTTCTGACTTTGTTAATAATCTGATAATATTATGACCAGATAATAGCCATCTCTTCTCATTATAGAATTCCATATCTAAAATCCCTTCTATCTTCTGACCTTTTTATTTTGCTAGAGTCCTGTTACTCAGGTTTGAGAGCTTTATCTTCTTTAATCCCTTTCCTTTGCCCTCCTTTGGCAAATGATTGTTTCCTTCCCTTTTTACATCTCCCTTTCCTTAGAGTCCTGTTACTCAGGTTTGAGAGCTTTATCTTCTTTAATCCCTTTCCTTTGCCCTCCTTTGGCAAATGATTGTTTCCTTCCCTTTTTATATCTCCCTTTCCTTATCACCTTACATCTAGACTGTTGCTAGAGTCTATGGACCACTTTCACCATCAATAGTCTTTTCTTCCAGTCCAGCCTACAGTACACCCCTACATTGCTTTTCCTAAATCACTGTCCAATTATGACAGTCCCTTTTGCCTATGGAATAAATTCTGTATTCTTTAGTTCTCCATGATCTGTCACCTCCCTTTTCTAAATGTATTAAATATAGGGTCATATACAAACTCTAGGGAGACTGGTTTAGTTATTGCCCCTCCAAAATGCTTTGTGCTTTTCTGTATGACAGCTTTGTTCATACTATTTATTTTATTAAAATGCTATCCCTCTGAGCTAAATTCTGCCCTTACTGTACCTGATATCTCAGTGACCATAATGTTTCTTTCCTGCTTCTTAAGTTTTGTTCTCTGAGACTCAATTTGCAGAATCATAATTTTTTTTTTTGCCTTGTCTCTATCTGAATTCCCAATAAGATTGTTGTAATCTATCACTGTGTTCAAGACATCGCACAGGTAGTTTTAGTATAAACCAAAGGACAAGTACTAAAGTGAAATTAAATCCTTAAAGTCATAAAACTGTTTAGCCCTGGAGTTTAGGATTCTGGCTACATTAATTGACTTTCTTATTAAATGTTGTTATGGTTGTATGACATCCAATGAATTCTGACTCATAGCTACCCTGTAGGAGAGAGTAGAACTGCCCTATATGGTTGTCTTGGCTGTAGTCCTTACAGGAGCAGATGGCCAGGTCTTTCTCCCACAGAACTACTGGGTAGGTTTGAACTGCCAACCTTTCTTAGCAGCCATGCACTTAACCATTTCACCACCAGGTCTCTTTTACCATTAACTAAACCAAAAACCAAACTCACTGCCATCGAGTCGACCCCCACTGGGTTTATGAGGCAGTAAATCTTTACAGAAGTAAATTGCCCCATCTTTCTTCCCTGGAGGGGCCAGTGGCTTTGAACAACCAATCTTCTGCTTAGCAGTCAAATGCCTTAGGCACTATGCCACCAGAGCATTAAAAAGCATACAATAAAAAAATGTTCTTTTTTTTATTTGTATGGCCCATGATCATCTCTCTCTCTCTCTCTCTCTCTCTCTCTCGTCTCTTTCTCGCTCGCTCGCTCTCTGGTTCAATCTCAGTCTCACTGTCACTGCCATCGAGTCTACTGGACTCATAGCAATCCCTCCTTGGATTTCTCAGGGGAGCTCCCGTAGCATAGTGCCTAAGGCACTTGACTGCTAACCAGAGGCTAGCGGTTCAAACCCACCAGCCACTCCTCGGAAGGAAGACAGGGCAATCTACTTCCATAGGGATACTGCCTCGGAAACCCAAGGAGGGGTCGCTATGAGTTGGGTCCGACTCGATGGCACATAACAACAACAACAATATCTCTATGAAAGTAGATTGCCCAGTCTGCCTTCTGAAGAGTGACTGGTCGTTTGAACAGCTCTCAAAAGAGAGAGAGGAGATCAGGCTTACTATATTAGAAAAAAACAAATTAACAATAAGCTTCTTCATTTCCTGTTTTGATTTTATTAATTTTAAAACCATGTTGCTTTAAATTTGGATTGTTTCTGTACTGTGTTTTGTTCCTAAGACCACGTCAAAAGAACATGCAGTCATTGCTTCTGGAATCTTAGGTGTGAAAGTAGCATGGTAAAACATACATACTCTTCTTTTTGAATTGCATTTTATTTTGAGAGTAAATCTTTTTAGTATCTTTAAAATATATGACATTTGGTTCTCTTCTATTGAAACTTTAAACCAAATAAAAAACAAAATTTTGCTTATTTTCAGGAAGTCCTATTTTCATTTTAAAGGATCCTCACCCCCACCTCGCTTAGCATCCATTTTGGCCTTTATTCTCCAACTCTCCAAGGAAACTAACACAGACATTTATGATGTTGAACTACTCCTCCCTGATGTCTTAAAATGCTTGGTATTGGTCAATGAACCCCAAGGTTAGTTTGTATGTATGTTACTTCACATTTATCATCCTTTTTTGTTCACAAGTTAAACTATTCTTGCCTATTAGTTAAATCGATAGTTACAGAAGTATGTGGTTATTTTACATTTGTTTGTTTATACCATGATAAGGAAGGATAATTGAAGTTGAACATTAAAAAAAAAAATGGTTAAAAATGTCTATGTTTCAATTTAGTTTGGGTTGTGTTTCATCTGAGAGTAAATACAGTTGACCCTTGAACAGTGAGGTTAGGGGTATCAGTCCCTCTCTCCAAGGTGAAAATGTACATATAACTTCTGACTCCCCAAAAATTTAACTACTAATAGGCTACTGTTGACCAGAAACTTTACCAATAAAATAAAAAGCCCTGATCATAAACCCGATTACATTTGAACAAAAACAGGAAGAGATAGAGTTAGTCTGTCCCTTCCTGCCTTAAATCCTGGTGCTTACTTGTCTTCTTTACTAATAAATGTCCTTTGTGACATTTTTTCTCATAATAGGGTACTTTCTTCTGCATTAAAGACCTGTACATTTATGATAGGTATCCTTTCTCAGTGATTTTCTTAATGGCATCTGGGAACTCATCTGCTACCTATTGGTTGTCAAAAGCTGCTTCTCCTATTATCTTGACATATTTTCTTTTAAAGCCAAATCGTTTTCTAAAATTATCAGAGCATCCTTTGCTGATACTAAAATTTTCAACTTTACATCCTTTGCCTTACTTTTGCTTTAAGTTATCATATAATGACTTTGCTTTCATCTTGAGTCTTATTAGAGTCTATAGGTATGCCTTTCTTATAGCAATCTGCACCCACATAAAAGCTACATTTTCAATACGAGATGAAATACTTCACAAAAAGTGCAAGGTTTTTGTGCCTGGTGGTGCAGTTGCAATGGCTTCACAAATTTTCTTCTTTGTTTTTTTTTTTTTACAATGGTCCTGCAGCTGGATTCGTTTATCTTGAAATGGCAGGCAACCACAGCTCCAGACCTCAATTTGTGGTACATAGCAAGCAGTTCAACTTTTTCATCATTTTTTACTGCAGTAAGCAATTTACTGGACAGAGAAACTGGTCATGTGGAGATGATTAGCATCACACAGCAATTTAAGTGGAAACTCAACAACAGTTGGGCTCACCATAATAGCAGTAAGAGGTGGCTATGAGTACAATATGTACTACAGGTAATTTTATGCAGTTGTGATTTAATACTGCATCTTTATATTTGCTTACATTTCTCTCAACTGAAAATGACACCATGTAGCTCTGGTGGCATAGTACCTAAGTCATTTGACTACTAACCAGAAGGCTGGCAGTTCAAACCCACCAGCCACTTCTCGGAAGGAAGGTTGGGCAACCTGCTTCCGTAGTTGATATCACCTCAGAAACCCAAGGAGGGATTGCTATGAGTCAGATCCGACTCCAAGGGTATGAGTTTGGTTTTGGTTTTGGTATGGTCTGTAAGTGTATGTGTGCATAAATTGTAAATTTTAACTTTTTATAATAGATTTGTGTATATTTTGTGTGTTTTCTTTTTTCACTGCCGTTGATTTGGATCCAACTCATAGCGACCCCTCCTTGGGCTTCCGGGGCAGTATCACTATGGAAGTAGATTGCCCAACCTTCCTTCCATCTGCCCTCCAAGGAGCAGCTGGTGGGTTTGAACCGCCAGCCTTCTGGTTAGCAGACAAATGCCTTAGGCACTACACCACCAGAGATCCTATATATTTTATGGTCGTAAATGCTAAAATAGGCTAATATCTGTATATATTTCATGCATTCATGACATATTTAACTTCTTTTTAATTTTTTCAGTATATCTAGGCTACATGGTTCATCTGTGAGATTTTTCAAAGTGTTGTAAATCTCCAAAAAAATTTCCCAGTACATTTGTTGAAAAAGAAATCTGCATAAAATAAAAATCCCAGACAAACAAAACTGAGGGAATTTGTGGCTAGTTGGTCTGTCTTGAATGAAATGGTTAAAGAAGTTTTTCAGAGAGAAGGAAAATGGTATAGATCAGAACTCAGATTGCATAAAGAGAAAGAGTATTGAAGAATAAATGAAAGTGAGATAAAATCTTTCATTTTTCTTACTCTTAATTGAGCTAATAGATAATTGGTCAAAATATTCTATTAGCAATATGTTGTATGATTATACCATTATGGGTAAGTGAAATAAATGACAGCATGTTAAAAGGGAAAGGAGTGAGGCAGTGGGAATACTCTACTCTAAGCTACCTTCATGAGCCATGAAGTGATACAGTGTCATTTGAAAGTGTACTTAAATTA